GCCCGGAAATGTCCTACAATTTCACAGTACTCGGACGATAATTTCCTCGCCGAATCGTAAATTCCGAAAATAGTCTTGCAAAATGCGACCCTTCGTCGAGCCCCGATCGGAATGAAGCCCCACTTTCTACGCAATCAGCTCGCATGATCGATCCGACATTCTTCGCCTTCAACCCGATCTTGCGCTGACTTCATCAACCCCGCGTTCCTCGGGTTCGGGTTCGACTTTCCAGTCCTCGCCATCAGCAAGGAGAAACACGGCACATTCGGTCCCATGGGTTACGAAACGTGCCCACACGGAATGTTGGCCGGGGATTGCGTGCGCCGAATGGGAACTGCTGGAGGGTTGTCGGTCAACTGAGTGACCAAGTCCAGGAGATATTGGCCAATAATCCCTGACATGGGACGCCATATTGCTGGATAATTTCCTGTCGCTTGGCGCAGTACTGATGAACGAACCCGAATTTTCTCCACTTTCGTATTTATCTTTTTTTTTCTTTTTTGGCGGTGGGTTATATGAAGGCTGATGATGGAATTTGATTGTCCTCGACTTGCATCACATAAAATAAAACGATAATGGGCGTGTATATTGCTCCGGGCCACCGTTAATTTTTGTGATTTGAATCTTGAATCGCATGTCGGGGCTGATGACAATCAACTTCAGATGATGTCAAAATAAACTATCGAGGAAAGACGGAAAGCAGATTTTTACGATGCCCTCTGCGATTTTTTTTATGCCTGCAGTTTGCGAAATTTCTGCGGGTTTTTGATGAAGAAGTATTTCTAAACTTTATTGGCAAAACCGTCTAAAAAATTATCTTCGACACTTTTTACGTTGAAAAGAAAAACATACGGTTGAAGCCAAGATGCATGCTGTGCTTCATGATATAAAAAATTTGAAAATAGTGCCATATTGATTTCTATTCCAACAAAATATTTTGGATTCTTTTGATATACGAGGATGGAAATTGTGTAAAATACCTCAACACAAATAATTTTTCGGACTAACCAAAAAGGACTCTCCAGGCTAAGAATATGAAAAAAATAAAATTAAATGTACACACATGAAAAAACGAAGGCGCATCTTTCCACGGGTAGGGTTACGAATAGAAATTCTTCATGACATATTCGAGAAAATTTTCATGGAGGCTTGTTGCATTCTTTGAATTGAATTGTGAATTCCTCTAAATTGTTTTCACGTATGAACAGAGCTCCAAAATATTTGACAAAACAAGCAATACGTATTTTAGGTTTATTTCCGCTAAAATAAATTATCTTGCCTGAAAATTGGTTCATTTCCCTGCGTAATTTCTTCCAATACCTGTTCAATTGCACAAAATTGGTTGCTGTCCTGTGTTTGGGCCATACTTCACTACCAAAACATACTTGATAGACATAATATCAAACTTCCCCTAACGTCACCTGACAATTTTTTTATCAAAGAAATCTAAAACTTCAACTTGATTCAAGTATGGTACTGTATTTTCTATTTCTTCAAATTGCTCTTATATGAGTAATCTGCTTTGATGCTTGTTTTTTTCAAAACTGTTTTCTTGTGCTCATTCTCTTGTGCATTTCTCTGTTTTTGTTACTTCCAATTTTGTTTCTTTTTCTATTCTGGACACCTGCTGTTTTCTTGTGACAAAGTTCTTATGTTGGGCACCACTTTCATTTTGGCAAGCCATTGAACAAACTATACAGGCGGTGGTACCTTGGAATTTGACCTCCCGTAATTTGACCATCCTGAAATTTAATGGTTGAATTTGCTTGGAGGTCGACTAGCAATTTGACCTGTTTCTCAAAATTTGACCCGTTTTAGCCTCTTTTCTAGTGTTTTTTGTGCTGTTTTCCCTTGACTTTATAGAGTGTCTCACAATTTGACCATTTTGCAATTTGACCCTAGTTTGGCAATGGATTCGGGTTGAATTGCAAGACCACCTGCACATGCAGAGCTTGCCAGTAAATTTGCCAACCAGAACCTAGCTGTAAAAATTCATGGTATTTTTTCAATTATCCAAGATGTTTTTGATTTTTTTTACCAATTATGTTGCAATTTAAACACTTTCCTTCTGAATTGACTCCATCATTTAGTTTCCAGCTGCTTTCATCTATTTTCAAAAATTAATTTCCGAGTTGAAAAGATGGGATTTCAGCCTTCTGAAAAAGAAAATTGAATTTGAAATTCATCAAAAACTTAAGATGAGCTTCCTGGAATTATGTTTGCAAGAAAGAACGTTGGACCAAGTGGCCACGAGGGAATGAAAGTACTGTATATATTCTTAGTGAAATACCAAAAATCAAAGTGAAACGGATGTTTCTCGAAGTTAGGCATCATACTTCGTGTATTTCGTGTTCATCCTTGTTTCAAGTATACATTCCATGTACGCGAAGACATTTTATAGATATCATTGCCCAGATTTTTATTGGATGTTTAATCGATTGAATTTCACAATGTCCGATTGCAAAATCAGAAAAGACGAGACCTTGTCTCGCCCAGTCAGACTGTGGAATGCAGCTGATCTTTTTTTTTATTTAGTTGAGTTCCTTTTTTTTCAGAGGCTGGCTGTTCAAAAGAAGAGTGTGTCAAAGATGACGTCGGTGCTGTTGGCAGCCGAGTGGCGCCGCAGCTGGGGTTCCCAGCACGGACGCCAGCACCAGTGGTGATAAAAAGCGAGCCGCCGGGTTCTCCGCCTTCCGCGTCGGCGTCGACGGCGCCCCTGCCGCCGCCGACGACGACGACGACAGCCGCCGCCAGGATGGTCATGGACACTGGCTCGGGGCTCGATGCCGCCTCGTCACCGCGGTCCGCGGACGTCGTGCCCGCAGGCATCTTCAGTCCCTTTGTGACCAGCGCGCCTCGTAGCGGTGGCGCCGGGAAGCTGCTGTCACAGCAGGACCTCCACCACCATTCCCACCACCAGCACCATCATCATCATCATCATCCGGGTGGTGGTGGTGGTGGTAGTTACCACGCCGGGGACGCGAGTAGGACCAGCAACGATCCGACTGCTGTGGACTCGTTTTTCGCTTTCACTGCTGCTGCTTCAGGTACGCGAGGAACTTCTGGAGACTTACATGATTGAGCTACAGTAATTTTAATATCAAATTCTGGAATGAGTTCCAAGCGATTTCCAATACACATCCGTCACTCAGCATCGAGTGAATTTCAAGTGTTTTTTTTTAAATAATGCTTAGCGTTCTTCTTTCCTTCTTCCTGGAATATTGCTTATGACAAGAGCCTCAAGACATGATGATCAGCTCAGAAAAATCAGGAATAAATTCGTCTGATATAAGCTGGAGGCTTTGATTTGCTATTATCATGCAGGATTGCTTCTCAATGAATATCTTATGATTAAGACATTACTTCGTGAAAGAATAACTAAAAAAAAATGCAAAGTTCAAAACCGCTGCGACCATTTTCAGTTGGACGGCTCGGGAGTTGGAATTCTGAATTCCAATAGCCTTCGCTTAAAAAAAATTGCCTTCTCTGATTTTCTCTCAGTTAAAATGCAATAAACGCAATCTTTTTAAATGCTCGCGAGATTCGTCTTATTTTTAGAGGAGAGATTTTAAAAATCAGTTTACACACTGCTGCCCGGAAAACCGTGTATTAATCGAAGAAGCTGACTTTTATTTGAAAATAAGTGTGCGTCCGCAAAATCTGAACAGAAACGATGTACATTAATTTCAGGAAATAATAATGAACAGGCAAATCTTGACTGGTTTTCTTTTGATATTCCAACAGCTGATATTTTAAAACTGCAATTCGGAAAAGTTGGGGCCATTTTACTTTACTTTGGGTTTGGTTAAGTGAAATAGGTTGAGATAGATAGATTTATTGGTGAGTATGTCTGAACAAATTACAAAATTTTTTTCATTTGTGTACTGGGTAAACCGAAAAAATCTGAACCCATTTTAGGCCGCGTGCCCGCTGAAACACTCGAACGATTCAAATTATTTCCATCAAATGCAGCAAAGTTGAAGTTCTTTCAATTATCTTCCAAATTATATGGTTGCGTTATATACAAACAAATTCGTAATCCATCATCATTATACGAAATTCAATTGATCGTATATACCGGAAGGAAATAACTTTTTTTCATTAAAGCTGGAAATAAAGTTTAGAACACCTTTTGAATTTCTTCGAGGTTTCAACTATTGAATTGAATTGAACAAGAAGCTTTATTTTCCGCTTTTCTGCGTACACAAGATTCACACAAATAATTTGTTCATCCCCACTGAACCAAGCATTTGACGATGATTGGAATACACAGCATTATTTGAGGTCTGCATAGACTGGGAATATTCGTCGAAGTTCTACTATTTCAACTGTCTTTGACTTTTGAAGCGGGTTTCTTATATTCAAAAAAACTTTTTTTCGAGGATGATCCCTAATGCAAAGAATTCGGACATTAGAAGGAAAGAAGGGTTGGATGTGTTTTTCATATTCTGGTCTTTGGAAATCTGTTCAGGTGCAGTGACTTCATCAGCCAACTTTTTCCAACGAAACCTACTGACCCTGGGGGAACCCACAAGCAGTTTCTCATCAACTCCAAGTGCCGCCACCAGCAGCAGCAAACTCTCGGCCACTGAAGCCCCAACCCCTGCGTCAAACCCAGGTTTACTTCCCGTGGACCCAGGACAACAACACGGCAAACAGCATCAGTTGCCCTACTCATCATCATCATCATCATCGCAACCCCTGTGTTTCGAAGCGGATAAACAGAGGGGCACCGTTGCATCGGCGGCAGCAGCAGCAGCTGCTGCGACGGCGGCGGCGGCGGCGGCTGCGGCTGCCGCCAGTTATTACCCGCACGGCGCCAGCAGCGGCGCCACTTCGTCGTCCACTTTGATCTCGTCCACCCCGCAATTCCCAACTGCCAGTGCTGCTGCTGCTTTCTACCACGACGAGCACCAGTATCAGCCGAGGCCGGATTTCACGCCTTGGTTCGACAAGCCGTTCTCGCCTTATCAGGTCTCGCAGGTGAATTTTTTTCAACGTCTCACTCATTGTACGTACAGTACAATAATTAATTCGCAGCGATTACTATTTTTCTGGGGCAAAATTTAGATCGAGTGAAAATTTGACGCGCGCGTCAGGATAATTTCAAGGTTATTGGACGTCATTTTTCTCCATTAAATGTGATTTCTACAGTTTTGCCGCAAAAAAAAAACTAGAATAATACTCGGAGATGGTTCACCGAATTTCTAATACGTCTTGAAAACTTGCACACTTATCGCCTCCGTTTTCCGCATTCTTTTCATGAAAATAAAAAATAAAAATAAAGAACAGAAGACCAGTAATAAGACACGAAGGAAAGGAGCTGTGAAATAGAATGATGAGGAAATTTAAAACAAAATAACGAACTTAAACTCCGTTCAGGGTCTCTCAGCTGAATTTCGTCTACCTTCCACTCATTTTATTTAATGGACATCGCGTATCATTTATTTCATATGCGAAATTCTTTTCGGGTGAAAAATCGAGGTGGACGTCAGCACAATTTGAACGTTCGGCGTATTATTCGCCAGATGCAAATAATCCTTCAATTTCGTCAAGAACTAAAAGGATTCGTAAACATTCAATGCATTTTGCAGATGTCTTCGATAAACCATTTGAAAAAATAACTGACCATAAAATAAAAATAATCAGGCGGAGTACAAATGTCAGAATGTCAGTTTTTATTTTACGCTAAAACTTCTCCAAAAAAGTTGGACAGAAGAGTGAGGTCTCGCTCTCGAATAGTGTACTCGTTTTCAGAATTTCCCTTTAACAGTTTACAATTGAAGCTGAGAAAGAAAACGCGTCAAATTATTTTTAAAAAATGAAGAAGATCATTTCCGATTAAGTTTTGAAATTTTCTTTCCAAGATAAACCCTTGTGTATGCACGAGGGTTCCTTAAATCCTAAATGTGATTATCCTCAACGAGCATTACACAAGGAATACATATACTGTGAAATGTCGTTGCAACGAAGCCCTCGAGACCAGTGCTTCATTATAATAATGACAATTTCATTATAAGCGAACTCGGATAAAATTGCAGCTATTGCTGGACATGGACCTGAAAAACAGTTTCGCTGTCATCGATCGTTCGTTGAAAGGAGATTTGTTGCAACGACATTCTGCTGCATTGTTTTAATTTTACAGCTTGTTTCCCTCATGTTTTATAAGAGGTCTTCCGTTTTTTTTTCTTTTATTTGGTGGCCACTGGCCAATAGCAGAGAAAAAAGAGGTAAATTGGTAAGTTTTCCAGACGTATTTAAAGTCATAAAATAATTTATCCGCGGTTTTGATGAACCATCTCCAAGCTTTATTCACTCATCATCCTGCTACTTATAGCTATTCCGAATCATCGCGTTTCACCTATAGCATCCTTAGATTTGACAAAAAAACAAAATCGGTGTTGACTGTTTTCAATATAGCACTACGCACACCAGTTTGACGTGCCTCCATCAGCCAGTTGTGTGCAAGCAGCAGCTGCAGCCAGCTACGATGCATCCTATTACTACCATCACCACCATCACCGTGCAGCTCATCCCAGTGGGGTGCAGGTAGGTGGTGCACATCATCACCACCACGGTCAGAACCAACACCACCACCACCACCACCACCCCTACATGGATATTCATCAGTTGGGCCAGGCTGCGGCTGCTGGCATAGGCAAACATCACCCTCATTCCGCGGCCGAGGCGTTTTATTTGGCTGGTGCATCAGCTGCTGCCCTCGGGGCTTCGAGTGCTGCTGCTGGTGTCGGGCTGGATCATCATCACACGTCATCAGAGGTGTGGAAAACTTTTCAATATTTTGATTATTGCGACAGCATGTCTTCCTTCAACAACAAAATAATAAGCCATTAATGTATAAAGGTGGACTTCTCTCTGCAAGGAAATTCAAAGGAAATAAAAAAATGCGCTTTATAAAGAATTTGTTGTAGCATGGGAAGAAAATTCGATGGGAAGAAAATACAATAGTTCGTTATACATAGAAACATTCGGTGTGAACAAGATCGCTGTAGAGTCCACCTGAATCATTATATGTAGTTATGGCGAGTCAAGTAATGATATTATCTTTGTTTTGTTTTTTTGAACGGCGCAATATTTTTATATTGCAAATCAAACACTTATTCTTACAGATGAAAACGTTGGGATCCACGTTGACAACTTTTTTTATTCGGTCGTGAAAAAAAAAAAAAACCTGGTCACTTATTCTACGAAATAATTTTTCCTGCCCTCGCATAACCAGTACACAGTAAATTCAAAGAAATTAAATTTTAATCATCATTCAATCAACGTGTGACGATGTGACTGTTTTCTTGAAATGTAGCCCGAGAGATGTAAAAGGGCTTCGGGTTTGTCAACTTTTCACGCTGTACATTGAGTAAATTGATCAACAAACTTGGTACTCTGCTTTCATGAATCATTTGTTTCATTGTGATTTTCGCACCTCAGAAGAAAAACTAGTTTGCTGTCTTGAATATAAGTAACCATACCGGCTCACAAACATGGCAACTGTTTCAACAAATGCAAATAAAAGGAATAAATTGAAAATAGTTAGAAATCCACCCAAGAAATCAAAGTCTTCTTCTTGAAAAAAATTGCCTGTACTGTGAACATTTTCACCGTGTCCTGCGCTGTGAATCTCTAAAACTCAGACTGTTTTTCATTTATTAATACCGTTGCAATCATGGAAACCGAGAACAGAAATTTATCGATCGTGTATTTTTTCACTGAGGTAAAGCGTGAAAAATGGTTCCTGCGTATAATTTGAGATTCACGCCGTTGTAAACAATATTTACAGCGTATTTTGAAAAACTTAAAAAAATTTCCAAGTAGGATCATCGCCGTTACTGATTTTGCTTCTGATATCCTAAACGTTTAGAGAGAATAATGTATTCTCGAATGGCTGCGCAGTCAGATTATTCATGTGGTTGCTGTAATGCGAGACCACGATTCGTTCTGACTGCTGTCGGCTTGTTTATCATGAGGAAAATATTGATGGAATGATTTTCAAACTGGTGAGTCTCCTTTAAATGAGGCACATGATTCATTGCATTCATTAAAGCAGTACTTCTCTATCGACTCGATGAAGTTGATCTTCAATAAACCGCCTGACGACCAAATTTAGCCTAACCACGATCAAAGTTATGCATTTCAATGAACACCATCAACAATGGGATGATGAGGAGCAAAAAAGGAATTTATGGTTTCGTCCTTAATCAATCGTCATTTTATTGGCTTCAGCTATCACAATCCAAACAATAAACTCGATTATGTATTCCCTCTTTTGAAATTTATAATCCTGCGTTTCACTTGTGTGGTTATCTGCAGTACTGTAATTTATGATCAGCACGTCAATTAAACGCGTGGAACTTCTTGAATTTGTCATGAACTTTCCTAGAAAGGCCACATAATACAGTACTGTCTCAGTTCTGTGTGCCACTCCATAATTGACCTGAATGTCTGCTGTTTTCTTCCATGCAATTTCTTTCGTCATTTTTATAGCTTTTAAATTTTCAGTTGACGCCTTGGAGAGTTGGAAGCGCATATGTACACGCTTCGTACGACACCTTGTGAAATAAGAGAAACTAGAACATTCTTCTTGCCGCACTTTCCACAGATGTCGCGCTGTAAACACAAAATCCAATTCTATATTCTTCAGGCAACGCAATCTCAACAATTTCAACATGCTGGACAGCAACACCAAGTGACCACCAGCCAGCACCCCCACCACCACCACCATCATCCAACCCATCGACACCATCTGCCCCACCATCAAGAGTCAGATCCCGCCCACCAAAAGCTGTTGCGTGGCGCCTTCGCAGGCACCACAAGTGGCACCACGACCGGCCACGGACTCGGACTCGTCGCTGTCAAGTCCCGCAAATACCCGAACCGGCCAAGCAAAACCCCCGTTCACGAGCGACCTTACGCGTGTCCCGTCGGCAACTGTGACCGGAGATTCTCGCGGTCAGACGAACTCAGTCGACACATCCGGATCCACACTGGCCAAAAGCCGTTTCCTTGTCGCATTTGCATGCGTTCATTTTCGAGGTCAGATCACTTGACCACGCATATCCGGACGCATACGGGAGAAAAACCCTTTTTATGTGACGTATGCGGACGCAAGTTCGCCAGATCGGACGAGAAAAAGAGACACGCAAAAGTGCACGGGCGCCAGCGGGGAGCGCGACAGGGTAGATTACCAGCGACACCTGTTACTGTTTCAAAAACTAATAGTTGTAGTACTTCTGCTACCGTCTCTTTCGCGTCGCGTCCTACCTCTTCTACGCACACCCGCAGCTGAGACCGCACAGAAAATCAATAAATGAATCAATTCATTTTGGCTGTAAAAGCAAAGCGAAACGAGAATATTTAAGACAGACACTAGCTATAATTTCAACGCACTCTAAGATATGAGGGGCACATCGGACTTCCTACATGTTCTTCATAAAAAAAATCAAACACATTTTCTGTTCGTCAGGTGTCGGGTGAACAACACATTTGCCTCAATATTGGAAGAACTATCCCTTCATTTTTTTATTTGAACAATCTTGATTGTTTACCGTCTGGTACGGTCTGGGTACAGTGAAATCAGCAACAACAAAATAATGCTGTAGCACATAAAGTTGAAATGAGTGAAAATGCTGTCTTGCCAGATTTGAACCGGACTAGCATAAAAAAAAAGATAAAATCTTGGAAACTGGTGCGTGAAGACGCAGTATTTTTTATGAAGGCATTTAGAAGATATGTTTTCTGTTCGAGGCAAACGTTTACTCTCTGCTTCATGCGAAGGAGATTCCCCTTTTAAAATTGTAAAAATAAATGGACGCAGTTGATCGGGGAATGCGAGTACAGAGCAATAATGGAAATCCGTAACTTTTGTTTACAATTCAATATCCTTATTTTCACTCACGAATGACCTTCAGCTGAGCCAGTGCTTCAAAAATTTGCAATCGAATGGAAGATCATCAGGTATCACGTAAATTATTTTTAACGCTATAATTAATTGTTAACGTTTCTTGAAAATTTTACAAAGTATAATTTTGCTTGGGCAGTGAAAAACTTTCCGAATTTTATTAGCACTTAATTTTGTAAAAAAAAGCAAACACCGTGAAGGACATCAGGAAAATTTGAGAGCAGTTCAAAATCTTTGAAAATTCCGCGAATAACTGTTTTACAGAGTAGTGACAAAATGTCGTCTGTGGGGAAATTTTTTTTTCATATCATGAACAGACAAAATGTTGCTTTCACCTGTTCGGAAATACTTCTCTTTACTGGAATTCGTATACGTGAGACTCGTTACAAATGACAAAAAGAAATACTTCAGCCCTGATATATTTTGAAGGACAATAACACTTTGGGACCAACCAGCAGTGTGTCCTTCCAATGATTGACCAGTTTTGTTTGAAAAGAAAAATGCGAAGAAATTATTCATCCTCAGGCCAGAAAAATGGACTTTGAAATCAACCCAATAGCTTTTCGTTTCAACCAAAAAACCCGGTGATACAGCTTTTGTCGATGGACGCAAGGAACCCAAGTGCTCAAAGAAACATTTCTGGAAAAAAAACATTTTTTCGCCAAATGGTCTTGCCAAAAGAGGAAAAAAAATAATATGCGAGAAAAGTTTGGAGAATGCGGCGTCATCCGTTGTTTGTCGATTGTTGTATCTATATTCTGGTGTTTTGAAAATTGTTGGACTTCCCCGGAGGAAAAAAAAAGGGAAAATTATGCAAAAGCGAGATATATATGTTTATTTTGTCGAACGGTTTGAATTTTAATCTGCTGATAGCTTCGTGGTGAGTGTGTCTTCGATTTCTACATTTGTTCAAAAAACATTTTTGAAATGTTTCTTGCCTTCATTTTTCGCATGATTTTTCCTTTGAAATCTTACAAATCTTTATTAATTTTCGATGTCCACTTCGGAGACGAAGGAAATATAGAAATGTGTCAAACGTTGTTCCGAAAAATCGTGTGTTTGAGACGAGATATTTTTATGTTTCTTTCTTTTGTTGAGAGATAAAAAAAAAAGATTTTTCCTGATGCCAAATTGTATTCTGGGTGTTCATATTTTTGTGTTACGCACGTCGTCATCTTCGGCACTTCTTTCGGTGGCTCAATCGTGGATGAACGCGAGACAAATTAAAGTGAGACGAAAGTTGAGAGAAGCGGAGAGATGATGAATGCGACGTTGAGTAAAGGAAATGAAGACGGAAATGTTTCTTCCCCAGCGTGAAAATGCGTTCTTGATTTTATTCCAGCTGACATCCATTCAGACAGACACATTTCAGGCTTATTTTTTATAATATACTGCTTGCATTTTTGATACAGTTAAGCGAATATACTTGGCGTGATACAGATTTAGTGATTGCATTTGTTTATTTTTTCTTTACCAACAAAATCCACACGCCCTTTTGCAATGTTGTTGCATTTGAGGCTCGAAACAGGATCCGTTCAGTTTTTGGATCAGACACTCGGTAGTTCCCTTGTAGTAGTCGTTGTCACAAGGAATACTGCACTTGTAAAGTCTGTTCATCTTCTGGACATCCAGCTGAACAAAAATAAAAATATGAATGATAAACCGCGGAAATCATGCGCAAGATGTTCAAAGTGCCGCTACATCTACATGCGGCAGTTTCTATCGCGGTTCATACTCATAAATTATGCCATAGATGTCGCTACGGGTATTAAAATAGTTCAACGTCATTTCTCCATCGATATCTGACGGTGATTGCGGTTCATTTTATATATTCGTGTGATCATTTTCGATTAATGCACTCGTATGATATTCTTAGCGTGAAAAAAGCAATAACTTCAAATTGCAAATTTATCTAGCTAATATGTAATTTTTTTGAATGTATTTGAACTGCATGTACACCAGAGATTCGCGGCACCGAATGAGTGGATATTTTATTCGACTGCACCCTGACGTTAATTGGAATACTGTATACGCATAGATTCGTGCCTCGAGTTTTATTTTTATGACAAAAATGAGCAATATGCTATCAAATACATTTTTTATGTGTTGCAAAGCAATTAAATCGCAAGATAGAATTCGACAACTCACTGCACTCGGGCCAACCCGTTGCCCCATGTGAACCCCAACGGGTATTGGGTATTTGTTCACAATGGTTTTCTTCGACGGGTCTCTGGCAAAGAAGTAAGGCCCGTAGTGCATCACTGATCCTGAAATGAATAAAAACTCAGGTCATTATTATCGTGTCATCAGTTATTTAAGGAAAACCATTTCTACCTCACCAATGTCATATTCGCTGTTCAGCAAATTAATTTCCTTGGGATCATGCATTTTGAAGTTGTGCTCTTCACCTGAAAGTGAATTTGAACTGATTGAATGAATCATTTGAAAGCGCTTGAGAAATAATAACCCACCATGCGATTAAAGTTTAACTTTCTATTGATGTTCAGTAATCTCATAGCAATTTCGAATTATGTTTTTATCTCTTCGAAAAAAAGGGGGTACATTTTAAAGAACGTTTCATGAATGGGATCTTTTCAATGTAGCATTAAGGGCATTTTCATAAAATTGCGTTTGAGAATGCTTCTTCTCTTGGTCCAAAATCCAGCCTTAAAAAATATTTCCAAGAAGTTTGACATAGTTCCACAGGATCATGACGAAGGCAAATCGAAGAGAAAAACCTAGATTCACTTATCGATTCACTTCATTATAAATGAAGTCAACTATGACAAAAACGGCTTTTGTTTTTGACATTTACAGTAGCTAAACAAAAGGGCAAATGTTCCAGCCTAGAAACTTCGGATTTAAAAAAAAAAAAAACGTTTAATATAGTTGGTCCGAATTTTTCCGTGATGATCGCGAAACAGTCGAATTAATAATACAGTAATCTGTAATGCATTCATGAATTTACTTATCGAAAAAAATGAAGTAATATTTTGGTGAATGCGCTTTCAAACAGGTTTTCTCTTCGGATAAAAAAGTTGAGATCATCGAAAATTAGGCACAGTATTTCGAAGTTGAATCAAATCATAATATTTCACCCGACCTGGCCTGATGTTGTCCCACATGATCTTGATGTGCTGATTCCGATCTGGTCTCGACTGTTCGTGCCAAAATCCAGCAGCATGCATCAATTCGTGCACAGGATGACCCAAGCACGACAAACATCCTTTGTCCAAACACACCAATTGACCTCCGTTCTGCTTCCCAACGACACTCGCACAACTGCAATATGCCATTTCATTCCTCCGTATATAATATCGTCAAGTCTGCGCAGATTTTTCTTCTTCTTTTTGATAAGAAAGTTAGTCGTGAAAATTGGCATACAAATCTTGGTTGGGTGAGTTGACAGGAGTGATGTGGATGAAATCGGCCTCGTCGGTCCTTGGCACGAATTGAAGGCACGTTTCGCTGTGGAACGTTTCAAGGGCTTTTGACAAAACAGCTCGGTCGTCTCTCGCTGTGCAAAAAAGTGCATCGACAAATAGACTTCATAGACATATTCCTCGGGTTTTTTCAAAGTACAAACTGTAATTCGCAGAAATGGTGTAAGGGATTTTTCCGTAAGGCCACATCATTCTCAGGTTGGAAGTCGCCGCTCGTTTCTCACGGGACATTTTCATTGGAAAAATCCTGCCTTTCGCCCATTCCTTCGTGGAAAAAGCATAAAAAATCCGCAAAAATTGATGAAATAGAAGAATTCGGTGGTCATTCAAGATGATCTGGTTTTGGAGCAGCTGTTTCAAAGTCCCATTATTTGGACATTTAAAGCTATAAAAAATTTTTTTCTAATGGAATTTTAAATACGTATATTTGTAATATACGCTCGGTTTTAATTTCTGTATTTTTGCAGATGATTTCACGGATATTTTGAAAAATGAATCTCGGGGAAAAGTGATCATGATCACAGAAGACCTTCTTCATCTCCGATATTAAAAAAAAAAGCACGTGGATACTGAAACGCTGATCCCATACTGATAAACAGAGAAATTTTGAGATAATTTACAACCATTTTCTGCATATTGTTCGTGAACTTTGCATTACTCGTTATCAGTATGAAGGATTCAGCATGGTTGAAAATTGAATTTTATAATTATATACTGTATTTGTAAAAATGTCCATGCTTCAAGAGTTCAGTCTAGAATTTCTTGAGTAATGCGGAATCATGCCATGACTTTTTCTTCTTCCTCCCAAATTGCACTTAGTTAAACAAAACGAAACAAACAAAAAATGGAAGGAGTCCTGGTACTTTCAGAAATTCTCCGTAACTGTCTTCAGCATATCCTGGCATTGTTTTGTAGTCGCCGCCACCGCCACCAACTTCCTCTTTCAGAGCTTTCACATGCTCTGGGTTCGTCAAGATGTCGCCCTGATACACATCCTTTTTTATGTGTTCTGGTTTGCGGATCGGCAGTTTCGGGGAATCCGGGCTATGACAATTGGTTCCATCGTTTTTCAGGCCTTTTAACACAAAAAAATAAACGTAGCCAAATTTTTTTCAAGTTATTCTTTGAAGCGAAAATGTTGTCAATGAGTAACGAACCTTTGGCTGCGTAATACGCCAGGTCCATTCCGGTCAAAGGAGGTCCGAGTTCTTCGGCCTGAGAAGAATAATACAATCCAATTGGACCTCGATAATTCGGAACTCCTTAAATCAAGTACCTCCCTATTATGTCAATTTTTTTCAATTCCCAGACTGGATTGCCTTGCATGCATGGAAACAATTCATTAATAACCTATCTAACTTATTAAATTTCCCTCTCAAACTTCCAAATTCAAGTCAAATTTTCTGTAGGCCTTTTGGGGCTGTTATTTTATACCCACAGGAAAGAGTAAAGCAATGAAAATTCAAGGTGGGGTGCTTTAAAAACAATTAAAAGACAAATTGGGCAAATAAACCCTTTTCTTTCAACTTCAGCATCCTGTCAACTCATTTGAGAAGCACAATTGCAGGCCCAGGATATCACCAAAAACAACTTTATTCCAGCGTAATTATTTTTATTTCTCCAAACAAAATACTCGTTTCCCTAACATAATTTTTTTGATGATCCCTCGTATTTTATTTCGAAGGTCCCGTGCGCATGTATAAAATACTTGCTCAAATAAGATTCACTAATTCAAAAAAATATATACAACCTAGCGTTTCAGGTGGTATCTTGAAGAATGATTTAGTTTCAAAGTCAATATAAAAGGATGAAACTCTTTGTCCCACTTCAAGGAATGGCAATATTCAACCTAAAGATAAATATACAACCACACTGTTATATATTCAACACCATCAAAAGTTCTTCATGTAAAAGAACACAAATTTTAAATCCCTCAAATTTTAAATGGCGAACTTGAAGTTCAGGTTGCTTTTGTCTTCTCAGATTGATAAGCTAAAATTATTTCTTGATCTTCTGGCACCTGGGCTTCAAAACAATATTCATGTAGCTATTCAACGATTGTATAATTGGAAAGTGCAAGCAAGTTGCACATTATGTCAAAATATAGCGTTGACGTATGTGTACCTGATAACGCACCGGTTTTTATAAAATTTTGTAAAAGAAACTGAGAGAATATTACCAAAAAATACACCAAACAAATAAATAGAAACGTATATACGGTACGCACTTGAACGCCCTGTAATATGTGTGATAATGCGTGTTCAGTTTCATGAGTCGTGAGAATAAATAAACCTATCATGAATTAACTGGTTCAAATAAGATTTTAAAGATTATTCCTTCCAACTCAGCTTTAAGTTTCTGAACTCTGACCTTAATGCGAATTCTTCCAGCCACGAAAATGTCGCCACGCTGAACAGTGGGAAAATTTTGATCAGAATCCACTGCCGCGTCATCAGCATCCTCATCGAACAGCATTGCGTAGAAATCTTTGACAAACGATGCCTCGGTTGGAGGAATAAATGGTCTATGAATGTTCCACAGTGTCATTGTTGTCAAAAGCAAAACCCCAAAACGGGTTGACAAGCACTTGAAATTGTACATGACTCCGAACAATTTTCGCCAGAGATTTGAGGGAAAATATGCTATCATTTTTTTCAAGCAGGGCTGTGACGGGTTTTTATGCATTCGGGATTTATTCGTAAAGTTCCATTCACACCACAATCCAAAATGTATCGCGATGATTTTCAAGGAATCGATGGTCATCAAAACCAACTTCAAAGATTTTTTTAAATCCACACCAAATTGTTTACCGGTGTATACTGGAGAAAAGAACGTGCGTAAGTTCGAATTGAAAATGTAAGCGAACTTTTCAAAAGCTTTTGCAATGATGGCTAGTTTATAAGGTAAGAAAGAATTCGTTGAGAACAACCCTTCAGCGTATATTGACACATGTGTTGCTGACAAGAATTCCTCAGAAAATTCTGGATTCCTTTCTTTGTGGCACTATTTTCTGCATATGTTTCACGTTCCACAAATATTTCTCAGAATCTTTCGTTGGGAATCAATGCTTCTACAAACATTTCTCTGATTCCCACTTGAATGTTAAAATGCACTATTTGCGTAGCTTCAAAATTTCTTCCAACAGAGAATTAAGATGTGTGTGCTTCTGAAGAAGTTTTTGTCCAGAACCGTTTAATGAAATTGCGCCTCAAAGAAAGGCAATCATGAAGACGGAAAATTTCAACGTCATGATACGGGCTTCACCTGCATTAGAACTTTTAATGAGTTTGTCAAATTTTCTTTTGCGTTCTGGATTCATTTTAAGTTCTTCCTTGTGTTTGTGGTCTTTGTTTGGGGATGAGGTCATGAATACAAAGAAGTCACTGAGGATGATGAGAGGCCGATGGCCTTAATCTGAATAAAACAGGGAACGAAACCGGAGGCAGTGAAGAAAAAAACCTGTGGAGTCATCAGCAACTCCTTCTTCTTTGGGCCAACATCCTTTCTTTTGAGATGGACTCGTTCTTTTCACACGTTTTGCATTGAGTATAGCAGAAGTGTCATCGAAATTTGCGGGACTGAGGATCTAAATTAACAGTACTGTGCATCTGTATAGTGCGGATCTGTTTGCTCGCACGTTCAAGCATATGGCACGAGGTTCAAAAAGAAAAATTTGGCCAATCATAATGCTCGATTTGGATTTCCGTTTGCAGATGGTCAAGCAAATCTGGATATTTGGGTCGTGCCAGAAAAGATATGCGAGACATAATCGTGTGTGCAAAGAGGTAATAGCGTTTATTCCAAGCCCCCTCCCTTCCCCGGTACCCAACCAAAAGCCCCCCCTGCCAAAAGCCCCCCCTAGGTCAAAAGCCCCCCCTGGAGAGCATCAGTGACAGGGAGGAAGAGGCAGCAGAAGGCAATTTTGAAGATGATTATTNGCCTCCCTAGGTCAAAAGCCCCCCCTGCCAAAAGCCCCCCCCCCCGCTTTTTTATAATTGCATGCAAGTTTCATAATAATGCTTGGTGGCCCTGAAAAGGGCTATTTGGTTTCATTAGTCCTTAAAAGGACTGTTGAATAATCATCTTCAAAATTGCCTTCTGCTGCCTCTTCCTCCCTGTCACTGATGCTCTCCATGTCATTTTCTTCTAAATAGCCTGATGATCTGAAGTGCACCAGTCATTGGACCAACAAGGTGAACTGTAGATTTTGCAGAAGTCAGCAAATGATGATGCTTTGAAATTCAAAAAATCACTGATGACCATTGCAGGTGATCATATACTCAACTTACAAACATATTGATACTTATGGCCTTGTGCTGGGCCTGCTGGTGAAAGGTGCAGCTTACCATCAAGAGTTACAAGAATACCTGTAATCCTCAATTTTTGCACCTAGGGGGGGCTTTTGGCAGGGGGGCTTTTGGACTACACCCCCTTCCCCATGAATCATTTGCAAATATACACCCTAACCACATTCACATTTTTTAATTAATAAAGAATTCACCTGAGTGAGTATCAATAAGGGTTCTTGACAAAAACGCATGCCATGGTTTTCAGTCGAAATTTTTGATCAAATTGCATCCCCAATAAGAAAATTTACCCCCATTTTTACGGACTCTAAAGCAGCAATACTGTATTTCAAATATGGAGAGCATTCAAACTAAAATCAAGACATAAATTGTAACTGAATTCAATTTCCAATCATGTTCATTATTTCAATAAGTTTTTTTGTTAATTTTGTCCACATTTTTTCTTCAGAATCCACTACTGTTTGAAAATGTTTTTTCCTTTAAAATCAATTACTTTTTGAAAATGTTTTTAAAAATTGATCCTAATCTATGATGGACATCTTTTTCCCTTAATTAATTTCCCTTATAATTCGGGTCTCACTGAATATTACTCCATGAATAATTGATATTTTCACATTTCTAATTTTTAAAGTTGAACTCCTCTTTAGTACAGAAACATTATCAAGGCGGATATGGTTTCCCAATCTTTAGTGCAGTAATCACACCAGCACTAGCGCTTGGTCAGGATATGATAAATTGTGTACCTTTCAATAAAAACGCATAATTCCAAATAAGTCATTTAGAGAGATTTTCTTTTTTACAGATAATACTATCCCAGTTTTTGAGGTGCTCTTTGCAGTGTCGCATATCCAAATAAAACCACCCAGTTTGAATGTGAATTTAACCCTTGGATGGCGGAGGGTTCTTTCCCATAGCGGGACGGAGTTGGATTATTTTTGTATCCTCCTGCATTTTCAGTCTTGGGAAGGTCACCAAAACCCTTCCAGGTGGGCTGAGGCAAAGTTGGGATTAATCCAAAAAAAGCTGGTAGCCTAACTGAGAGTTTTTCTTTTTGCCAACAAAATTTTTCTGCTGGGAGGGAAAAAAACGCTGGGATTTTTCCGGACTTTGCCCTTGGCTCCCTGTCCGCATTTTTTTCTTCACCTTTCTGAGGTTGTACAAAATTTTGCAAAAATAGTCCAACTTAGCCATCCAAGGGTTAAGAATGAATTTTTAAAAATTATCCTGAGCATGGGTATGTGATTCTCAGTGAAAACCTATAATGATATCCCTAGAAATATGCCTTAATTTCTCTGATTTTGGCCTATTTTCATGCAGGACAGATACATTTTTGTGACACTTGGTGAGTTGGCACAAAATTGGGGTTTCCCCTGAGAACACAATTGAGGGAGATTTGTTCCTGAGAAATTGGCGACACTATGCTGCGCAGGTGGCACTAAATGGAGGGTTGACTGTAGTTTCTCCTCCAAATTGTTCCTGGAAATTGAAAGTTCTGTACAGCATATACTGTGTGGAATCAAAATCTTATGAAAAACATCAGTGTAGCTGTCTGTCTACGCTCCTCAAATCATATGTTTTTATTCGTATTTTTTTCATTATTGAAGCCATCTCACGTCCTGCAGCTTGTCAGAGACCATGATGTACAGCAACCCTCTTTCTATATACTGTATCGTGCATTATCTGATAGAAAATTCCAACTATTGACGAGTGTTTATTAACACCCATTTTTGACGCTTCAACACCCTGAGTTGACCATCATTCTACATGGTCAAGATCCGTTCCAGTGGTTAGAGATCCACCCGTTCGCAAAGCATCTGTGAACCGCTTCATTGAGCAAGTCTTGTCCCAGAATCTTCCCAAATACCATGCATTCCATCCAACACTATCAGTTACGGCGAAAATAAATTCTGCGGAATAATTCCCCATCTCGTCGGTCCCTTTTCTTCGGAATCCGCTCAGCGGAATTACCTGGGTTACATAAAACCGAACGGAATGAGATAACGCATTCGCCCCGCTGCTCTGATGACGAGAACATAAAAAAGAATAACTCTAAGAATATATACTAACAAAATCATGCATCTGTATATGAGGAAAAGGAGGAAGGAAGGAAGGAAGATACTTAGTAATCCCAAGACACACACACAGCAGAAGAAGAGACAGAGGAAATCAGCGCTGTTCTGCTCGACAAAGCGCGACGACAGACCCGCTACTCGTAATTTCCATTTGCGAAGACTAAAACAGTTGACCATGACGGGAATTATAGGAAGGGAAGAGAAATAAAAAACCAGCACATCACTTACAACTATTTCAGGACGGTAACAATAGAATTTGTTCTTTGAATAATTCACACTCACTGATCCGGATTAAAAAAAATTAATCCGGCGCACACGCATCCAAGCAATGACCTGATTTTGAAGCAGATTTACGAACCTTGTGTGTATAGACCACTGGTTGTAATGAGAGGAAATGCTGATTAACCTGGCTTTGAGGAACATGTGTTGGACAGAATTAGTGCCAGACTAAAATGCCTGGAGAAGATTAGGATCCATCTGGCATATTTTACTTGAAACTACAAACTCCCGATTAATAAAAGAAAAACTATGGACAACGAGTCTCATGATGCTTGCTTAGACTTTTCTTCCTTTTTTCATATACAATAACTGTTTACTACAAAGAAAAATGCATATTAAATCAGGAAGATAAATATATATTCACTATATCTCATACCATGACCAAGCGCTGGTGCTGGTACAAAGCTGCAAAACACAGTCCCATTCTTCTACTTGACACCATTTTGCAGAAATACATACTGTACTGCAGTATAGCGCAAAATAAAATGCAATAATAACAGTTCATTTGACCAAAATTGTGTGCGCAAGACCACACAAATTCAAAATATATGGACTGATAAACACTGCCTACGTCAGGAGGAAGTTCGATTATTTTCTGGTTGCAAACAATTTTTTACATAAAAATATACAAACTGCTCACTGGTGCTCTTTTCAGCACTTCTTACATAGGATTGAAATTGAAGAATTTCAAAAACAATAGGCTTTAGTTCTCCAGGATTTTCCCAAAGTTTGGCTACTCAACAAAAACTGCATTTGGGCGTCCTTTGGTTAAACCAAAATGAACCTGTGGGCAAAAATTCCTGGTTATGGCTTTTAGAACAAGCACCAAGCAATTCCAATCATAGAAACTGTGCATAATTATTTCTTCAATGAGCACAGAAGTTTTCCACAGTTGATCATTTCATTTTTTTAATTAGCCAACTCCATGAATTAAATCAGGGCA